AGCTTGAGGTACCCCTCCACCAGGTGTTTGAAGCGTGGTCCCAATTAGTCCCACCTGCCTTAGGACAAGCTTGAGGTGCCCCTCCACCTCGTGTTTGAAGCGTGATCCCAATTAGTCTTAACAGTAAAAATCTGGAGTCAGATATCGAAGGTAAAAGCTGAAAGATCAGAGAAGCAGAGCAGCCAGCCACTAGAGACTTCTTAGCTCTATGAAATCTCAGACTGAAAGGGAACCTTGTCTCTACAAATCCTCAGACTGAATGGGAGCTGAGATCCTGTCTCCACCTGCCTGATATTCCTGTCTCCACCTCCCAATTGTGCTGGAATTAAAGGCATGAGATCCCAAGGGCTGGTATCAAAGGTGCGAACCACCACCACCAGGCTCTGTTTCTCTTTTAGACTGATTCAATCTCGTGTAGCTCAGGGTGGCCTTGAACTCCTGATCTTCCTGCTTCCTCCTCCCAAATGCTGGGATTAAAGGTGTGAGCCACCACTACCTGACCTCTATGGTTAACTAGTGGCTAGCTCTGCCTTCCAGTCTCCAGGCAAGCTTTATTTATCAGAACACAAACAAAATATCATACAAAAGGTACTCACTCACTCTACCTTTCCATCTCAAGATGCCTCTTCTTAGCAGAAAAAACAGAAGCAACAAGCATTGACAAGAGGAACCAGAATTTTCAGAGGAGGTTTTGTGCTTCAACTTGTTGTGCCCAGATGGTGACCCCTGAGAGAGACCACCGAAGACCAAAGAGCATGCCGGAATGCAAAAGCAAGGTTTATTGAAGCAGTTCAAGCCCTGCGGCAGGGACCTTGTCAAGCCATCCAACACAATCGAGGCTGGAGGAGGTGCCCGCCCCTCTGCAAGCTCAGGTTTTTAAAGGTAAAAACCACAAGGTTACATCATTTAGGAGTGCTAGTATGGGTACAAATCTGATTGACTAGTTTCTAGGGACTTTCTAGAAATCATGGCTTAATCTTACTCCTAAGGGGGTGGTTGCCCATCACCATTTCTCATTGGCTGCCATCAGGTGGGGACAGTTCTGTGATCAGTTACCCTGGAAACCAGGGTTGGATTAAACAGTCATCACCCAATGAATAGCTTGTGACTCTGTACTTGGCATTTTCTAATTTCTGGAATCTGGGTTGACTGGTTCCAGTAACTCAAGGCCTATACCTAAAATAGAGAAAGCTTAGGCCTTGTTTCTAAGATGGAGGCATTTTGGTCTCATTTTGCCCTCACAAACTGACCACATTTGCCAAGCCTAGTTTGCCTCATTTTCTTCACTTAATGAAATAAAAATAAACCACGGTGGCAAATAAGCTCTGGCCACACCTCCAAGCATTCTCATGTTCACCTTTGCATTCTGCCATTCAAAACAGCCAACAAGAGCAAACCCGAGACACTGCCTGCTCTGCCCTGCACTCTAGAACAGCCACCCCACAGCAGAAAGAGGACCCCTGGCAGCCTTGCAATAAACCCCCCAGCTACACGCTGCTTTTACAATACGTCCTTTCTCCCAGCAGTGACTGCTCAAATGCTACACCACCATGCCCAGCTCTGCACAGCAATAATAACCAGGCAGGCTGCCTAGCAGCCAATCCCCCTTCGTTTCTAATCCCCCATCCAAAAAGCCTTTCAGGACACTTCCTGATGGGTAGAGAGCAGCCAGTCAGTAGATAATTGATTCATTTGAAGAAAAAGCTGAGTCTTGATGTCTTCTCACCAAGTCTTTCGGAGTCCCTGGGGGAGGGGGAGGGTGCTGGTTCCTTACCTAACCTAATCTGGCCACCCCCTCCCGCTCCTCCCCTGCCCTCCTGATGGCAAGTGGAAGACCTTCGAGACATTCAAAGATGTGTTCACCCCGATCCAGAACGGGCAAGTGGGTCTCTTCACAGCGTGCTCTCTGAGGCTGGAGGGCCAGGCTCTGAGAGAAGGTCAATGTGTTCATGAAGACAGACCAAATGTCAAGCAGCCTCCAGCGCTGCCTGTTTCTAACCGGCCGAAATCTAGTTTCACTGTAATTGAATCAGCTCAGCCAAAGGCTGTGTTTTCCAGTTTTCCTCAGCCATCAAGAGCTTACACACACACACACACACACACACACACACACACACACACACACACACACACACAGGGGTGGGTGGGGCTGACAAGGTTACTTTATAACAACTATAAGTCTTTAAGTCTCCCAGCTCCTACACTCCCTTAACTATTCCTCTAAGCTGCTTCAGGACACGTGCAGAAGGAGCTGCTAAATTTTTCCCTTTGGACAAAATAAAAGCAGAAAGTGAACAGATGAGCTAGGCGTGCCTATAATCCTAGCACTCGGGAGGCTGGGGCAGGAGCGTTGCTTTGAGTTTTTGAGGTCAGCTTAAACTAATTAGTGAGCAGTCCACGCCAGCTTGGGCTACAGAGTCTTTGTCACCAAAGACAAAGAAAAAAAGGAAGGAGATAAAGGAAAAAGAAGAAAGGAAAGAAGGGAAGAACAGAAAATAAACCAACAGGCAGAAACTGATGCACTTTCTAGGCCTCTGATTTTTATTGTTTATGGGAAAATGTCTACATATTGAGCTAGAAAAATCTTCCTCTTTGGCAATTTCTTGCTACTAAAGTTCCAGCGATGGCTTTCTCGCTCCGTTAGGTAACCTTTCATTCTCTCGCCTTCCCCATTATGTAACTGGGTTCTGGACCAGTCTCCCATTAAAGATGATTTTTATAGTCGGTGACCGACGTCAGGGAGTGATGACACCTGGAGGTGGTTTAGACAGATACGAGTCTTTAAGCCAGTCCGGAGCGGTGACTCATTTCCCCCCCCCGAGGGAGAAGCGGCGCGGCCATTGGTGAGCAGGCACGCCCCGCCCCCTCCGGCCCCGCCCCCCTCCTGACTCCCTGCCCCGCCCCGCTCCCCCGCGGCGTCGGAGCAGCAGACCGGGTCCGCAGGGCGCGTCGGTGGCAGGTAAGCGGCTTCTGAAGCTTGGCCTGGGAAAGGAGTGCTGGAGCCAGGCCTCGGCGAGCCCTCGGCCTTCCCCGAGCCAAGCCCGGCTTGCTCCGGCTCTCGGGCCGCTGAGGCCGCGGGGCTGAGGCCGAGCCTGGCTGGGTGGTGACCGTGCGCCAGCTGCTGCGCGTCCCCTGGAGGGACAGAACCCCAGGAGAGGCCCGGAGCCAGCCCTTCCTCCCGAGCCCGGTTCACTGCCCAGCATCGCTCGGGAATGGGGGTTGAGGGGTGGGGTGGCATCTTTTGACTGTCGTTTGCCGTTTTCTTCTCCCTTTGTAATAGCTACAGCGAACATAATTTTACACCACCGTGGTCTCGTCAGTCCTTAGCATCTCTCAGTCCCGTACCCAACGCCGTGCCCTGCCCTGCCGCGGGATTTCACTGTCCTACCTCGGCGTTTTCATGGCCGTCTTATTTTCTTGTACTTTGAATATCGTGGTTTAATAGCAGTTGCCCGTGTGCCGAATTCCCCATTTCATTAAGAGAAACTCCTGGTAGTGTGGAATTAAAGACTTGTGCAAATCTAATTACATAACAAACAGCCAGAATTTTGGATTAAAATATCAGACATCTGGAAAAATTAACTATTCAATGAACTACTTTCCCTACACACACACACACACACACACACACACACACACACACACACCCCTGAGAGCTTCAGAGACGGGAAGGAAGCAGAAAGCTAAGAGGTGATTTGTGTTTTATTTGTATCTGGCACAAGCTTTCCATATTATTTATAACAGGGACTAAATGATGAGTCATTTTTCTGAATAAGATGCAGAACAAGATGCAAATTAAAGCAAGTTTGTTTGTTGTGTTTACATCTACTAAATAGACAAAAACAATGTCAACAGCAACCCTGAGAGGTTGCCTGAAACCACCATTCAGGTAGAAAGATGGCATTACGATCAACTTTATGACGTGACATTTCCTGAGGTTCCTTTTTTTTGGTCTTTTGAGACAGGGTTTCTCTGTGTGGTTTTAGTGCCTGTCCTGGATCTCGCTCTGTAGACCAGGCTGACCTCCAACTCACAGAGATCCGCCTGGCTCTGCCTCCCGAGTGCTGGAATTAAAGGCGTGCGCCACCACCGCTCAGCCCTGAGGTTCCTTTTGTTCATTTTTTTTAAGACTTAAGTATTTATTTTATGTGTATGGGTGTTTTGTATCCACATATGCATGTATGTGCCTGTGCTGTGGAGGTCCGAAGAGGGTGTTGGATGCCCTGAAACTGGAGTTATGGATGGTTGTGAGCCCAGTACCACGTGAGAACTTGGAACCAAATCCAGGTCCTCTGGAAGAGCAACCAGTGCTCTGAAGTGCTGAGCTAGCTCTGCAGACTCTTCGGTTCATTCTTAGGAGAAAATGCTATCTGTGTCTGGCATTTATTGCAAAGATGAGTGGTTTGTGTAAAACTTGATGTTGAATGTATACTATTCTGTTTCCCATTCACACTTAACAGGGTATTGTAAGTCAGTGGGGGCTTTTTTGTTTGGTTCATTGGTTAGTTTGGAGTGTTTTCATCTTTCTGAGTTCATAACAGCTCATAACAGGCTCTCAATATGTAGTCCTGGCTGGCCTGGAATTTGCAATGTGGACCAGGCAGGCCTCACATTTGTGGCAATCCTCCCTGGTGCTTCCCAGAATGCTGGGTTACAGGCATGAGCCCCTGTACCCTGCAGTGGAACAATCTGGTGAGGTATTATTAGTTGTGAGCTGTGACCCAGAAACCCTTCTGGCAACTTACCTGTGATAGGACAAAGGGCTATGGGAGCCATATGCCAAGCAGTGACTTAAAATTAGAACCAACTGAGAATCAATCTAAATGTTTAACGGCTGAGCCGCTAAGAAAGCTATGGCAGGTTCGTGAAAGGAACCTTGGGGATCCTGAACACTCTTCATTTGGGATCCATGTGTGTCACTGGGGAAACTGAGAGTCAGAGTATAGGTTAGGAGACCTAGCCTCTCCTGGACTCCATGTGAAAACCCAGGAGAGCAGGAATGAAAGGGCTGGGAAAGTGCCTCTGATCTTAACTGTATGTTTGTGGAGGGACTCTTTCCTCTGCTTGTTAGGGGTGGAGGTGGGGGTGGGGGAGACAGTTCACAGACTTCTTTTCTTGAAATACTAGGGATTGAGCCCAGGTATAGTTTTTTTTAGTTTCTAAAATGACATAGACCATGCCATGTTTACATTTTGGAATGTATTTGAGCCGAGCTGAGCTTATATTTCCATTTTCAAATACTGCTCCATTTTATGTAACTGTATTTATTAGTGGTTTGGTAATTTGTATATTAGACTAGATTGTCTTTCGATTCATAGATTTATTTATCAATTCTAATTTTCCTTTTGTGTGTGTTTTGAAGGACTCCTGAATATATTTCAAAACCGAACAGTTTCAACTGAGCTGAAATACTCTGCCTTCCTGGTGGTACCGGTCCAGGTTAGGAGAACCGCAGCAGATTGTAAGTGCCCTGTGAATCTTGGTGGTCTCGGGGGAGGTCTGTCTGGGGTGTGGGGGCCATGGAAGACTAAGTACCAGGCTTGCTCCAGAGGCTACCTAGTAATGTGGGACTTACGCCTCGATGTGCGCTGATCTCTTGTAAAGTCAGCTTGATTCCAGAGGACAAAGGCCACAGCTTTCTCTGGGACTGTGCTGGGCTAGGGAACTGCAAGCATTTAAAAAATAATAATAACAGATAGACATTTCTGTGCCAGATCTCAATTTAGGTTTTTCCTTTTGTTTGTTCTTGGTTTGTTGTTGTTGTGGTGGTGGTGGTTTGATTTTGCTTGTTTTGAGGCAGGGTTTCATATACCTGGGCTGACCTGAAACTCCCTATATACAAACTTGCACTCCTGTTAGAAGTTCAGAGCCAAGCACCAGCCACCACACCCAGCTGGGTTTTCTGAATGATGATTTTTACTTTCCCATTCCATCCTCTCAAGGGATCTGTGAGCTACTGCATAATAAACACTTTAAAATGCATCCTGTCTAATGCAGAGATGGCTACAGTGTTACACAATAACACCTAAGTGGATAGTGTGTGCACTCGCTCTTAGGCCAAGGAGAGCTTCTGTCCCCGTGTGTTAAGCTAATCCTTTTGGTTGGAGGATATTCTGCTCATTGCTACCTCTGTATCATGTGGTTGCTTCGAGGGAGCTGCACCCTCTTAACAGAAAGCAGAATAAGTGTAAATGTGGGGTTCCATAGCTTAGCAAGGGAAGGAGGGCGGCCTTCGTGGTAGGCTTTTTCCAACCTCTCAGATTCCATCATTCAACACTTCCAGACTGTCCTGGGAGGATTTCTGATTTTTTTTTTTTCAAAAGTTCTTCAAGTAGTTCTGATGATGAGCAAGCTTAGAGACCCTTTACCCTTGATCCAGAGATGGGCCTTAAGATACCAGTTAAAACCACTAAAATGTTTTCTGTCATCTTACATAGCTTGATCCGGTTCCTTTAATGATGAGAAATGAATCAATTCTACTGAGCACAAGAGAAATGGGAAATTTCCCCCGGGATGGAGGAGGAGTGGAGCACTGGTGTGTGTGTGTGTGTGTGTGTGTGTGTGTGTGTGTGTAGTGTCTGTGTGTATGTGTGTGCCTCTGTGTGTGTCTCTGTGTGTGTGCGTATTGTGTCTGTGTGTATGTGTGTGCAGTTTTGCATTCTAAGACATGGCCGGCCAGTGTGCTCTGAATTCTCCTCCCACACGATCATTTCTTCATTTTTTAGGGCTTTTTATTTTATTTTGTTTTGTTTTTTTTCAGTGCTGGGGACCATATTCAGAGTCTTACATGTACCAGGCAAGTTCTCCAGCCTTGAGCTACATCCTTCATCCAGTCCTTTTTAGACAGGCAGGCAGAGAAGACTGAGCCTGCCCCACTCACGTAGCCCAGCCTGGCCTCTGACTCCCTGTGTGAGCAGAGCTGGTCTTGAGTTCCTGACCCCTCTGCATCTACCTTGCAGCCGCTGGGATTATGTTGGTGGAACACCATACCCTGCATCCTTTTTATGTGTCACGGCATCATGCTTCTTAAAGTCCTCTGAATTTAGATAAGAATGATGACTCTGAGTTATTTTAATGTAATTGGAATCTCTTTTATATTGATTTCTAAATTCCATTAATACATGTCTTTTTGCTTTTTCTAGTCTTTTTTTTTAATATCTCAGCAAAACTGTATAGCTTCTCTCAGTAAGTCTGCTGTTTATTTTGAGGATGAATCCTTGATAATTTTGAGTTTCTTAATGTCATTGTGAATGGAATGTTTACCCCACTGTTGTCTTTTTTAAGATAATTTATTTAAATTTATTTTACGTGCATTTATTATGAAGGTGTCAGATCCCCTGGAACTGGAGTTACAGACAGTTGTGAGCTGCCTTGCTGGGAATTGAACCTGGGTCCTCTGGAAGAGGAGCTAGTGCTCTTAACCACTGAACCATCTCTCCAGCCCCCGCCCCACCATGTCTTTAGATGCTGCAGATTTCAAAGACTGCCATTCTAGTGAGCCCACTTATCCTTACCCCCCACCCAGCCCCTGGCCAAAGGCCTTTCTAGGTGATTTTCCATAGTTTTCACAGAGGAAATCACAACTCTGTAAGGTCCCAGAACAATCTAAGAACGGCATAGATGTTGTTTTCATCACACACATTAGTGAAAATTTTTTCTTGTACTAGGATTACAGGCATATGCCACCACACCTAGCTCTACTTTTTAAAATGCATATACTAGTTACTCAATAAAGATTCGTTGAATAGATTCATTGTGGTAATTTATATGTTAATGGAAAGGGTGCCTATTTCACAAAGATTTCTAATTCACAAAATAAATAGTTACTGTCCCTCTAAACCAGCAGTTCTCAACCTGTAGGTCACAACTCATTTGAAGGTCAAATGGCCCCTTCACAGGGGTCACCTAAGACCATCCTGTACATCGGATATTTACATTATGATTCATAACACTAGCAAAGATAGAGTTCTAAAGTAGCAATGAAAATAATTTGATGGTTGAGGCTCACTATGACATGAGGTATTAAAGGGTCACAGCATTAGGAAGGTTGAGAACCACTGATCTAAAGCTTTCTCTTTCTGAGGCTATTTTCCCTTTCTCATGTCCAGCCTACAGCCGCCATGTTTAAGGGTGGTTTTGTTTGTTTGTTTGTTTGTTTGTTTGTTGATACACAGCTGCACAGTCTTCTAACCCATCACCAGAAGACAGAGACAAATGACTCTCAAGAGCTCACAGGCCGGCCAGCTTGGCTGAGTTAGTAAACTTCCGGTGCAGCGAGAGCCCTACCCCATCAGGAAAATAATAATAATATGGAAAACAATAAAGGAAGACACCCAGCAGTCATTTCAGACCTCCACATCCACATGCACACACATGCATGCTCACCTGCATGCACACATGCATATACCATGGCATACACAATAAGGGCGGTAGTAGGGCATACAGAAGCTTTTGAATTAACATAGTTACTGTACGTAGAATTGAGTTATATAAGGACATTTTCATACAAATATATAATATACTCAAACCATGCCTCCTACCTTCCCTTTTCTCTTCCTCCTGCCTCTCATTAGTCCCCTAGATAGGTTCACTCATCCTTTCATGTCAGACAGACAGACAGACACTGTTTTATGTATCTGTGTCAAATCTAGGAATTATATGTGAGAGAAAACACGCAACATTTGCCTGACTTAATTGACTTAAAATGTTAATCCCTGGTTGCATCCATTGTCCTCCAAATGGCATGATTTTGCTTTTCATTATGCTGAATGAAGTCCCATTTTCTTTATCCCATTTCTCTGACAACCAGTGATAGTGAACCTTTTTTCAGATGTCTGTTGACCATTTGTATTTTGGACTACTAATCACTTCAATGGCCTGTTTATTGTTCCACCTTTTAGAGCTGGGTCTCACTCCATCGGACTGGCTGAAACTCAGCAGTGTTATCTAGGTTCCTGAGAGCTGGATTCTGGCAGGGCACTCTCTGCCTCACTCATGTTTAGGTCTTTGGTCCTATCTAGAGTCTACTTTTGCACACGGGATTAGGGATCCATTTTTATTTTTCTTCCGTTTCTCAGAAACGTCAAAGCTTTCTTCCTTATTGGTTTGTGGTACCCATTGGTATATCAAGTCCTTGTTACAGAATGTATGCATGCGTCCATATTTGAACTTTAGACTGTTGGTCTGTTTCTGAATTTTAATGGCTTTATGGTATGTTTTTAGTGGTATGATTTAAGTCTGGTGTGCCACATTCTCCCCTCAGTTCTTCTTTTAAGGTTGGCTTTGTAATTAATAGACACATCTTTTTTTCCATGTGAGTTTATTAAGCTCTTCAGAAAATCAACCTAGAATTAAAGTTTAGAATTTTCTGCCAAAAAAACAAAAACCAAAAGACAAAAAACAAACAAACAACAACAACAAAAAAACCCTCTTTTGTTTAGTTTTGTCATTTCTAGATGTTTTATAGTTTGCTTGCTATGTGGATATCTTTTTTTCCTAGTTCATTATATCTGGTATAGAAATTATGTTGGTTTCTGTATACTCACTGTGGTGATTTGAATGAAATGTTCCCATAAGTCTTAGGCGTTTGAGTGTCTGATCCCAAGTTGATGGCTATTTGGGAAGGATTACGAAGTGTGGCCTTGCTGGAGAAAATATGTCACTGCTGTGTGATTTCAAAAGACTCTTGCCATTTCAAATTCTCTCCTCCTTCCATTCTTCCCTTCCTCCCTCCCTCCCTCCCCCCCACCTCCTGCTTGGGGATCAAGATGTGAGCGCTCAGCTGCTGCTGTAGTACCATTCCTTCCTGCCTTGAGCCACGCTCCCCACCCCGCCCCCTAGTGATAGACTCCTACCCGTTGAAAATTAACGCCAAATAAAATCTTCCTTCTTTCTATTCATCCTGTAACCTGCAACCTTGCTAAATTTTTGTTTGTTTGGGCTTGGTTTGGTTTGGTTTGGTTTCTGAGACAGGGTTTCTCTGTGTAGCCCTGGCTGCCCTGGAACTCAGTTTGTAGACCAGGCTGGCCTCGAACTCAGAGAGATCCTCCTGCCTCTGCCTCCCGAGTGCTGTAACTAAAGGTGTGGAACACCCTAGCCTTATCTACTTCTTCTGTATTTTCTGTTGGGAGCTGGTTAATTGCAAATGATGTCAGTTTGCCCTTTCCTCGTGGTTCCTGCTATTTCTTCCTCTTTACACAGGACATTGGCAGCACCTTGAGAACAATGGAAGTTTGTTTTTTGTTTCTTTTTTTCTTTCTTCCTCCCCCCACCCTTTTTTTAATCTGCTTCTGATCTTGAATGTTTTCAAAGATCATTATGTTTCCTGGTTTTATTGTAATGTTTATCAAGTTAAGGAAACTTCTATTGCTATTGTTCTGGGAGTGTTCTTCTTAGTGAAAAATAGTTTATGACCTTTATTAAGTACTTACTAAAATATCTCAGATGACTTTACAACCAGCCATGGACTCGGAAACCTAATCTCTATTCCCAGCAACCTAGTGAACCAACAATCTTTTATAGTGCTGGAGCTGGAAGCCAGGCAAATGCTCTGCCACTCGCCACATCCACAGCCCAGGAACTGCTCACTTGGGTGGCCCTAGTTGTAGAATGAGGGCTTAGAATTCAATATCTAGGCTCGCCTAGGTCTTGTGTAAGGTTTGAGGCCCTCTTTAGAAATGATTCTGTAAACGAATTTCATGATTTTAAATGTTGCTTTTCTTGCTCTCAATTGATTTTGAAATGATCCTGTCTTGATATGTTTTACAATTCTCCAGCATCATCCAATGTCAGTTTCAGTACTGGCGGGCCCGGGTGCCCGTGGCTGTGATGTCGTGTTAGGTGTCTAGGGGACAGCTCCCAGGCTGATGTCACGGCTTGGGGGTGGTTCCTCATCCCTGGACACTTGGAGCTCTTGGCCCACGTGTTGGTTGACAATAGTGTAGCCAGAAACAACCCCTTTCCCCACCTCCCCCTAGATTGGACGCCCATTCCACGTCCTGTCCATGTGGCTGCTTAGTCCAGAAGCGGGGGTCCCACATGGCTCTTTCAGTTACATCTGCCACTGCACGCCCCCCAGAGGCTGCCCACGGACTCGCGTGGCTCTCCTCCCACCTCAGCTGCCTTACCTCAGTGGCCTAAGACTCAGCCTCCCTGCTCTGTGTTCACATACACGCCTAGACATGCACGCGTGTACACACAGTCCCTGCCTCATGAATGTTCTTTCCGAAAAAGAACCCAAACTCTTCAGTGGCTCGTGATGCCTCCAGAGCCAGGTCAGGCCTTTCACAGGCCGAATCGTTAGGGCTGCCATAGAACCAGCATCCAGACAGGAGGGCAGGCTGCAAGGGCACTCCCTATTGTTGTCTCCATAGAGCAGGTAGTCGTGAGACTAAAGGAGACAGACGTGGTAACGTTAGACCAAGAATGGCGGGTGTAACCTGTCCCTGAGGTTTGTGTGGATGGCCCTGTTACCTGACCCCCGCCTGTCTTTCCACTGTACTCTACAGCTCCAGGCTCAGGTGTCCTCAGATCTGCCAGTGTCCCTTTAACCCCACCCTCTCTCTCTAACGCTGTCCCCCTTCTGTCCCCCCTTCTGCATCCGCCCCCCCCCCATGTCCTTATGGCTGTGTGGTGTCATTTCCCACACCCGTGTCTCCCCAGATCACAGAACTGCACCTTTTCTTTGCAGCGCTGTAGACAGATACTAGGGCATGTGTAGGCAAATGCCCTTCCGCTGAGCCGCACCCCGCCTGGCTCCCACACAGCCTTAAAGAAGCATCGGCAGGATTCCCAGCAGCCTCCTCTGGCTCCCACCCTTCTGTATCATAGAATACTGTCTCTTCAGCCAGCCCGAGCCTGCCGCAGTGGCTGGCCTACGAAGTAAATGTTTGGTTAGTTCAGTGCGGTTGTTAGCTGGCCCTGGGAGGAAAGGCATCCATTGCAAATACTTACTTACTCCTAGCGGCTTGTTAGTTCCGTTTCAGTAAAGATGTCTTTGTAGCCATCCCTTCAGCATTGACTGTGCATGTTTATGGATCAGGCACTGTGTCTGGGGCCATTGCTGTAAACAGACCCAAGACTCTGCCCTGGAGGAACCGGCCCCTGGTGGAGAAAATGGACAATAGGTCCACAAGAGCTAGTGTGTCACGTGTATTGTTTACTCTGGAAAGAAATGAAGCAGAAGAAGCAGACAGGAAAAGGGGTGCTACACCACATGGTATGAGGAGCCTCTCCCCCACCATCTGAGAGCCACGTGAGTGGTTGGGGGAGGGGCTACCTAGGCCAAGGAAGCAGCAAGTGCAAAGGCCCAGAGGCGGGACCCACTTTGGGGGTTTATGGGGAATGTTCGCTTCCTATCAAAGACAGCGAGCCAAGATTCTGTAAGTCACCCCGCACACCCTGTAAAACATCTTTACAGATCTTTGCATCTCCCCTACCCGGTGAAGCCTTTGTTTACACACAGCCCCCTACAGATGCCACGTTCCCAGACCTTGATGGCCTCTGACAGCCGACCTTTCTCCCGTTCTTTCATTCCCTTTGTGCTGATTCTTTTAAAACTAGCCCGTCTGAAAAGACTGTGAGGTGGGACCCCAGCCAACGAGGAAAAGACACAATCACCACCTGCCTTCGAATAAAAGCCAAGCCAACTTCTGGCTGCCATGTGCTTGCTGGGGCTCCATTTTGGTTCTGGCATACCCTTCTTTCAAAAAGAAGTTGCTTTGTGCACATGTTTCTTTGTGTAACTCTGAGGGTATTCTTTGTTTCTAACAGGTTTGAGTAGGCTGGGGGGGCGGGGGGGGGGGGGCACGTCCCGTGTTTCCCAGCCAACGTGGCCAGGACTTTGTATTTTAAACTGGATAGAGAAGAACGCCTCTTGGGGAACCAGTACAATGTGACCACATGTTACAAGGAAAACACAGGATAGGAGCTGGGGCAGGGCAGGGTCGGGGGACAGGCAAGATTCTAGATGGACAGCTGTGGAAGGACTCACATGAGCTGTGATGGAGGCGTCACCTAAGATAGTAGTAGTGCTGAAAGATGTGGAAAGCTGAAGGGCTTAGGATTCAGTGTAAAGAGAACTGAAAAGAGTGGCTAGTAGAATTTTATGTGTGCTGTGACAAAGGGGAAGTTCAAGAACTTATAGCTAGGCTTGTCTCAGCAGCATAAATGAAGTGCTGTACATAAAAGCCCTTTAGACTGAGAGGTTGGTTGGTTGGTTGGTTGGTTGGTTGGTTGGTTGGTGAATGATTGATTGGGGTGCTGGGGATTGAACCCAGGCCTCGAACATGCCAAGCAAGTTCTCTGTCACTGAGCGCCTTCCCCTACTGTTATACTGAACTTTCAGTCATCCTGGCTCAGCCATGTCCCGGGATTATAAGGCTTATCACCAAGTCCAGGATAGACTGAGGCCTAAAATGAGGGCACAGTCCCAAGTTAGGTTCCCTGAAACACGAGCAGCATGAGGCCAAGGACTGGGCCGTGAGAAAATGGGACAGACCAGGGAGCAACTGAAAGACGGGGACTGGAGGTGTGGGAGGGAGTGTGTCCTGCCCTCTAACCCTCACTAGAAGAAACTTCCTGAAATCCCAGTTGGTATGGCCTCAGCCCTTAAATCTGACTTGTATTTTCTAACTGTATTTTGATTTACTTATGACTCCATTTCAATAATTTTACTAGAAATATGAACAGAATGTTAGCTCATTGTTTACTGGCTTTTCTCATATACATTGTGCAATTTAATTGAAAACTAACTTTCTAATTTTTTCAGTGTAACAGGAATGTCAGTGGTGGAGGCAGGACTCACCAGAGTGTGACTGTGCGTGGCCTTTTACCATTTTATGGCTTAGTGGCATTTCAGGGCGTGTGGTTTGGCCTAGGATGTGGCAATGCAGTTTGGTAATCTCTTGTTCTTCGGCCCCTGTTCTTGGATCCCACCGCTGCACTTGGAAACTCAGCTCGATGTTTTCCCACTCTTGGCAGCCCAGCCCATCTGTCTCTCTTGTCTGTGGAGAGAATGAGGAATTCTCAAGCGAGCCTGCTAACTCCTAGATGTTTCCTGTCTCTAATAAACTTGGGTTGAGAATTCCTTAGAGGAGATTCTTGGCTTCAGTATGCTCAGAGGATGTTAATTCCTTCACTCGACAGCTGTCTGTTATGGCCCGCTCTGTGCCAGACGCTGCCGTAGCCCAGAGAAAAGGGCAACAGACAAGGGACTCTGGGTTTGGTTTTTGAGACATGGGCTACAAAGCCCAGACTTGTCTAGAACTCACAGTCCTCTGTTTCAGCCTCTTCTCCCAACTGCTGGGGTCATAGGCACGCCCCACGCCCCACGCCCCACGCCCCGCCCCACCATGCAGTGCTTTCCCCCCAGACCAGATCTAATTTACCAATTGGAGGGGGGTAATTCTTGTTTCCAGGGAATAGAGACATTTGTCCTACAAGAATGAGTATGAGTTGTGTATCTTTGGTTTACGGTCATTTTTCTCCTAAATGCTGTCAAGGAAACGCCCCCCCCCCGGGGGGGGGGGGAGGCGGGGGCGGCAGTTGATGCCATGACTATCACACATTTGTTCTGTAACAGATGTCAAGTAGCTTCAGCCTGAGTGCAGGACAATGATGCCTTGTTCTTCATTTTGCAGATCAGCCATCATGGCAAACCTTGGCTACTGGCTGCTCGCACTCTTTGTGGCTACGTGGACTGATGTTGGCCTCTGCAAGAAGCGGCCAAAGCCTGGAGGCTGGAACACCGGTGGAAGCCGATACCCTGGGCAGGGCAGCCCTGGGGGCAACCGTTACCCACCTCAGGGTGGCGGCACCTGGGGGCAGCCCCATGGTGGTGGCTGGGGGCAGCCCCATGGTGGTGGCTGGGGACAACCTCATGGTGGTGGCTGGGGGCAGCCCCATGGTGGTGGCTGGGGTCAAGGAGGCGGCACCCACAATCAGTGGAACAAGCCCAGCAAGCCAAAAACCAACATGAAGCATGTGGCAGGCGCTGCTGCGGCTGGGGCAGTGGTGGGGGGCCTTGGTGGCTACATGCTGGGGAGCGCCATGAGCAGGCCCATGATCCATTTTGGCAATGACTGGGAGGACCGCTACTACCGCGAAAACATGAACCGTTACCCTAACCAAGTGTACTATCGGCCCGTGGATCAGTACAACAATCAGAACAACTTCGTGCACGATTGCGTCAATATCACCATCAAGCAGCACACAGTCACCACCACCACCAAGGGGGAGAACTTCACGGAGACCGACGTCAAGATGATGGAGCGCGTGGTGGAGCAGATGTGTGTCACCCAGTATCAGAAGGAGTCCCAGGCCTACTATGACGGGAGGAGATCCAGCGCGGTGCTCTTCTCCTCGCCCCCTGTCATCCTCCTCCTCTCCTTCCTCATCTTCCTGATAGTGGGATGAGGGGGGGCTTTCCCGCTCCTCGTACTCTCTCGTTCTTGTGGTCTAGGCTGGGGGAGGGGTTACCCACCTGTAGCTCTTTTAATTGAGGTGGTGTCTCATTCTTGCTTCTCTCTTTGTCCCCCATAGGCTAATGCCCTTGGCACTGGTGGGCCCTGGGAAATGTACAGTAGACCAGATGCTATTCACTCCAGGGTCTTTTGACTGAGTCCGTTGTGGGCCAGTGCTAACGCCAGGCCAATAAGAATATAACAGCAAGTAACCGCTGCCTAGTCGGGGCTTTACCTTGGTCTAGTGAGTAAATACTGATGTGACCCTCTGACTTCTACCCAGAGTACACAGTGACAGACACACGTAACTGTTAAAATAGGCAAAGGGTTCTACAACCAAAGAAGTCATTGTTTGGGCATGGTGCCCTAAGAAACATCCTCCCATCCGGGATATGTAAAGCATCCATATGTGGCATTCTTTCTTTACTAACATAAACTCTACCTGATTAAAGCAACAGAAAAAAAAAATTACCCTACTAACCTTGAAAGCAAACCTTTGTTCATTTCCTAGGAACTAGAATGACTTTTTAACCTTGTTTGGATTGAACCAGGAGATTTTGACTCTGAGGAGATCCCACACTGTGAAAGCGTGGGCCTCCTGTGAAGGGGGAGAGGGTTAGGACGCAAAGTCAAGACACAGCATTTCTTCATTTCTGTCTCATAATTGTCAAAAGCCAGAATTAGGTCATCCCCTTTGTTTCTATACTTGTATTTGAATCGGACAACAAAGAGACAATCTAAACATTCTCTTAGGTTGCAGATGAGAGAAATAGGCGCCATTCAAAGTGGAAAGAGAAATTCTGTTAGCGTTGTTTAAGTAAAGCAAACTTTGTTCCTTAAATTACTCCATATTTCCCTGCGCAGACGTACACCACTCTGCAATAGCATCGGCCTGCACCGCAGGTGTTCTGTGTAGAATATATGAAGTATAACCACAAGCTTGGGCCTTCTGTTCTGATGCATCCGAAGTATGTAACACACTGACCCTTTCGTCCGGTACTAAATGCTTATTGTGTGGCCCTTAGGCTCAACATGCACTCAGTTCCGTCTATGAATCCAAAGTGGACCCCTCGCTGGTCTTTGAGATCTGCATGGACTTCACATTTTCTATATTTGTAACTTTGCATGTACTTGTTTTGTCATATAAAAAGTTTATAAATGTTTGCTATCCGACTGACATTAAATAGGAGCTATGATGAGCGCCCTGCAGGGTTCGTCTCTGTTCTGTGCTTCTGGTCCTGGGCTTGTTGCTAGGGTGGCTTGGGGCTCATCCAAAGCAGGGAGGGATGGCTAATCTCACATACCTGCCTCTGACAGCCTCGGTTCTTACCTCTGGTCATGGACTAGTTTATTTCCACTGCCTTTTTATTTTTCCCTTATGTGACTCAATGGACTCAGCCCTGCTGAGCCACAAAGGCGCTCCTGGGGGTGGGGGTGGGGGATGGGGAGTTGGAGGTAAGGTCATGCTGTAAAGGAAGTTTTCTTCTTGCCTGCCGGCCCACCCGTCTCCCCTCCCTCCTTCCTCCCTCCCTCTTCCTTCCTCTCCTTCCTCCCTCCTTCCCTCCCTCCTGCATGTATGTCTCTGTACACATGCACTGCCCTCAAGTCAAAAGAGGGGTCAGACCCCTGAAACTGAAGTTACAGATGTCTGTGAGCCACTATGTGGGCTCTGGGACTTAAACCCAGGTCCTCTGCAAGAACAGCCAGGGGTCTTAACCACTGAGCCACTGCTCCAGCCCCAGTGGAAGTGTTTTTCTGTCCTGAATTCAGATTCAGTTTCTCTCTTCCTCCTCCTCCTCTCCCTCCCTCCCTCTCCATTTGTTTGGTGGGCCACAATGACCTCAGACAAGAAATCTGTCCCTGAAAGTCAGCAACTTCTGTCCTTCCATATCCAACAATTCCAAGGAAGACTTAATCTAATTTTCAGAGTTTCTCTGAAAGGAAGCTCACCTTTTCTGGCAGCTTCTTTTAATCTAGGAACCCAATAAAGCTTGTAGCAATCAATCACTCCATCAATTGTCACGTTAACTCCACACTCCTTCAGGAGGAATAAAAAAGTCGAATTAAAGTTGCCATCTCCCTTTCTTGGTGGAGGCCACTATTCTCCTATTCTAGGTTCCCACACTTTTAGTTTGTCATCCCATCTGTATGTTACTCCATCCACAGTCTTCAGCCAATACCCTAGGGTCTCAAGTTTTACACAATGCCCTTGGAATATCCTCAGAAGCTGAATTATTCATCATGGCCAATTTAAGTGCAGTGTGTTGATACACATCATACCATGTGCTATAGTTGACCACACATTCGGTACAGTTTATCCAAGCCTAATAAGCTTCCTCAGGCTGCAGGTTCTTTCCCATGAACTACGTAACTGCCTTAACCCAAGCCTGGGTGATCACCTCTGTATAATTTCCTGTGAAATTTACTTCACTCCTTTCCTGCATCACAGAAATCACCATTGATCTAGGAACACAGAACATGAAGATCAGATAGAAGAAAAAGACTAGCGTTACAAGAAGTATTTATATGGAGGAGGACATGACATGTGCACACCACAAAGCATGACCTTGGGTCACGTAGGCATTTCTGCCTTGGCCCTCTAGAGGCATGCTAAGCAGAAGATCTGGATGGGAACACACGGAGGGTTGATGGTCCACAATCTCGGGTCCCCTTTTCTCCAGTCTCTGCTGGCTGCATGTCAGCCATCTTATGCCGTCCCTGGCAGTCTTCCTGTCTGAGTCTCTCCCAAGAGTTGGGATTACAATGGTGAACTCCCATGCCTGGTTTAGAAACAGATTTTCTTTTTCTCACAGAGATCTGCCTACCTCTGCCTCCTAAGTGCTGGGATTAAAAGTGCATCACCACGCACAGCTTAGAAATAGATTCTCTTGATTAAAATGAAACTTAAGCTCCAAAGCCCATTTAAAACCCCCATAACTCAGGCTCTGCAATTTCAGGTTCAACCTTTTGGCCCCAAAGGCCACACTTGGCAATTGACCCTGTAAAGGTGTCCATTGTAAGGGAAGGCACCCAGCCAGCCATATGCTTGCTCACCTGGTGGGAATTTCCCTGAGCAGCTGTCCCGTAGAAAGGCAAGAAATCATGAGAAGCCTTGATGGAAACCACAGCGATCCCCTCCCACAGGTGCCCCCCACAGGTGCCCCCGCTGTGACAGTGCCACCAGCCGGCCTTTGAGGATCACCCAGCCCTGCTGAGGGAAATCCCACTCCAAGAGGCCTGAGGAATTAAGGCACTCATGACAGTCACAGGCCATATAGGAGAGCTCTCTGGGAGCGACTCCACCAAGCAGGAGAGAAGCCTAGAGACAAAGACTTCAGCAAGTGCCTTTAACTTGAGGTCAGGGAGGAGTCCACAGGAGGTGTAGGTGGGGCGGGGAATTTGTGGGTGTGTTTCAACGCTGATAGTCAACAGCATAAGGAGGCACCATGGACCAGAACAGGTCTTATCATACTGGTGCACTTGTTACCTTGGACAGAGTACATGCCTGTTTGTAAAATGCATCAGTGAAACCCGAAACTGATACCCATCGCCTGCAGTAATCAGTCAATCTTGTACCTCAGATGAAAGGATAGCACCTTGAGACATCCTTCACAAAACTAAAAACAACACAAAGTCTCAACAGCACGACTTAGCTGAAAATGCACCTCCGAGTCAAATCGTAACAGAAGTCCGCACAACCATTTCCACCCGACCTTTGGGGCATTTTTCTACTTACTTAGAAATAAACTCCATTATCTGACAATCACAATTTCTCGGCTGGCCTGCTAAACAATAAGACGAGGCCAGAGTGAGCAACTGGGGTCACCACCTGATCCCGCCTTTCACAGGCTCTGACTCCGGTTCTGCATAAAGAATTTTTATCTGAAAAGTATCGCTGGGGAGACAACTCAGACAGTATTTGCTGTGCAAATATGAAGACGGACTGAGTTCAGTGCCCAGAACACGCATTAAAAAGCCAGGCATAGGCGGGCAGTGGTGGCGCATGCCTTTAATCCCAGCCCTTGGGAGGCAGAGCCAGGCAGATCTCTGTGAGTTCGAGGCCAGCCTGGTCTACAGAGCGAGATCCAGGACAGGCACCAAAACTACACAGAGAAACCCTGTCTCGAAAAACCAAACCAAACCAAAACAAACCAAAACAAAACAAACAAACAAACAAACAAACAAACAAAGCCAGGCACGATGGCGTTCACTTGTAACAGTGCTGGGGGTTAGACTTGCTGGCTAGCCAGCGTAGCCTACTCAGGAAGTTCCAGGTCAATGAGAGAACATCACAAAAGTGGATAGCTCCTAAAGAATGACACCCAGTGGTAGCAGTTAGTCTGGGATACATTTGAACTCATGGTCCTCGTGTGTCAGCCTTCTGAGTAGAAGTTCAAGGGTAGATGATACACCCCCAACGTTTGCTGTCTTGTCAACGTGTTTTTAAAATGTCAATATTAAAATGCTTAACAGAGGAGAATATAATAAATATTAAATACCTCATGTGTGAAAAAAAAATGACACCCAAGATTGACGGCAAGCCTCTACATGCACCCAAACGTACACACCCACCCACAGAGAGACAGAGAGATAGAGTTTAAAAAAAAAAAAAAAAAGACTTAAGTAAATACCCTAGGTCTACCCCGTCTCTCCCCTACAGACGGTTCTTCTAGAGAACTGCCGGATGCTGCCTTTATCCTCCCCCTCGACCCTCTTCTCCTTTAAGGACTTAAAAGTGTCCTCTGCCTCTGGAGGGAAATAGCTCTATACTGCTGTCTGCTCCAGTAGGAGCCTTAATCCAGAACCCCAGCTTTTCCGGACCTTTGGCCAGCTGACCCAAACATTTTGTGATTCATTTCCACCTAAGCCAGGTGACCTCTCTGGTTCTGCAGAACTCTACCCCACACTGGGATCTGGCTACACTAATCTATTTCCATCCTTTGCCTTCACCTATGAGTCCTACCCACATTCGCCAGGGAAACTACAGCCTAGCCCACATGTTTTCCTGGCTGCCTCTTGACCTGGAGCAGAGCTCCTTGACTTGAATGTACGCATGAATCTGCCAGCCCCAACTCCTGTTAGAACCAGTTCCTAGATGATGCTGTGCTGGACTCTTAGGCCGCTCTAGCACAAGACCTTAGGAGTTCCCACACTGGCAGCTGAATCTGCAACTCTTAGAAGACTCATTACACAGAGTGATAGGGTCCCACCCAGAGGGTTGCTGATTTCTGAGAATGGGGTGGGGCCTGGAAATTTACATTTTTAACAAAGTCCCAGGTGGTAAGTTGTTGCTGATGCAGATGTTCTGCAGAGAAATCTACTCCTCTCTGGAAGATCAAGGAAGGGAAGGCTGCCCAGCTCTGACATACAACGCCCGAGACCAGATATCTGTCTGGAAATACTCTTAGAAGGAAAGAACTGGGCAAATGACAGAAGTGGGGGAAGGGATGGCTGAGTCCCTCTGTGTGAAAGCCTTGAAGTTCAGCCCCAGTCCTGAGGTCCACCATTAGTGAGATGCTTAGCTAAATCAGGATGGGAGCCATCCTAACGATGAGCTTCTCACACATGTGCCTCAGTCACTCAAGGATAATTAAATACAGGCCCTGAGACGACTGTAGGCAGGTGGTGGGCTCTGCAGTCCAGAGTCTGTGGAGTCTGCAAGACCAGCAGCTGAAAAACAAGGAGGCGGAGGTTGGAGTCATTCATTCTCCTCTAGCCGTGGACAGGCATTTGGTGGAATCATAGAGGGCTCAGGACATGGCAGAGGTGTCTTTGCCTTCTCTTGGTTTTGTTTGTTTGTTTTTGTTTTTTTGTTTTTGTTTGTTTTTTGTTTCTTTGTTTTGTTTGTGGATGTATGTGGCTTCCAACAGGATCTCATATAACCCTGGCGGGCCTCTAACTGGTGGAAATCTGCCTACCTCAGCACATCCGGCTACCTTCTCTTATTTCTAAGGAGTCTCTCCTGGTCAACAGGAATACCCTACTGGCAGTGAAGCTTGTAGCTTATTTGAGAGCTGACATTGTTGTGCCCAGACCGAGACCTCGAGAGATAGACCACCAAAGACGAGCATGCAGGAATGCAAAAGCAAGGTTTATTGAAGCAGTTCAAGCCCTGCGGCAGGGACCTTGTCAAGCCTTCCAACACAGTAGAGGCTGGAGGAGGTGCCCGCCCCTCTGCAAGCTCAGGTTTTAAAGGCAAAAACCACAAG